CATTGGAATAACAACCCTAAAATAATGGGCTTGCTGTGAAGACGTGGGATAGCTATTTTGGGATACTCCAGTAGTGTTGCAGTGTAGACATAGCCTAAATCTATCTAAACCTTAAACTATGAGTTCACTTTTAAGGTCCTACAATAATAATGGGTCAAATTCTGTCCTGCATTGGGCCCTGATCCTACAATCAGCTGCATCTGCATGCTGATGTCCTGAAGCATCTCCTTTGTTCCCCATCAATGTTCCTGTGACTTTGTGCTGACACAGGGCCCAACAAACATTACTCTCAGGCTGTGTCTAGACTGGCAAGTTTTTCCGCAAAATCACTTGATTTTGCGGAAAAACTTGCCAGCTGTCTACACTGGGTGTTTGAATTTCCACAAGAACACTGACAATCTCATGTAAGATCGTCAGTGTTCTTGAAGAAATACTGTGCTGCTCCCGTTCGGGCAAAAGCCCTCTTGCGCAAATCATTTGCGCAAGAGGGCCAGTGTAAACAGCACAGTACTGTTTTCTGCAAAAAAGCCCCGATGGCGAAAATGGCAATCGCAGCTTTTTTGCGGAAAACCGCATCTAGATTGGCCATGGACGCTTTTCCTCAAAAAGTACTTTTGCGGAAAAGCATCCTGCCAATCTAGACGTGCTTTTCCAAAATGCTTTTAACGGAAAACTTTTTCGTTAAAAGCATTTTCGGAAACTCATGCCAGTGTAGACGTAGCCTCAATGTAGAATCAGGCCCTACATCATTGAAATTTGTGATAATGGGTAACTTCAGAAGACTGTGCAGTAGTAATAGCAAGTGAGGGGCAAATCTAGCCCTATGTTATTTTTTGTTATAAAAAAATGAACTATTGCTTTATAAAAGGTGACTCTATAGAGTATATGGCAGTCCCTATTTGCTGTGACTTGAGACTAGCATGTTTCAAGGGACAAAAAGGCCATTTTCTTCAGTTCTCTTAGGTCAATTGAGTTAACTCCCTCCTAAGTCTATATCACATCAAGCAGTTTGTGGAAACATTCTAAAAGGAACTAGCCCGTTTCTTCATTAGAACTGGAGGTGTAATTTCCAGACTAGAGTAAAGGTGTTAACTTTGATCGAGCTAGTGTGCTAAATATAGCAGTGTAGTCATGGTGGTATGGGGGGGCAGGACGATGGGCTAGCTGCTCAAGTAAGTACCTTGTGGAATTGCACTCCTGCCATTCATGCCACTACAGGTACACTTCTATTTTTAAGATGCTAGCTCAGTCCAAACGAGCATGCATACGTCTACCCACGTTGGAAGTTACACCTCCAGCTCCAGCATAGCCGTGCCCGAGGCTTCGATTCTACAAATATTTATGCACTGATTTAGCTTTATTACCATTAGCAGTACTGTTGAAGTTAATGGGACTATTCAAGATAGCAAAGTTAACCACATGTATGTGTGTTTGCATGATCGGGACCTAATGAGACTTAAGGGAACTTTCTAGTTATGTTAAATTAACTCAAATGAGCTAACACAATTGCAGAAAGAACCTTTTTTTGTGTATTGAGATTGGCCTCAAGGATTTATTTTATCAATTTATGCATCCTTTCCACTTCCAGATGTGCCACATAATGAATCTATTCCATTTTTAATTTCAGTTTCCAACCACTAGTTTGATACAATGCAAACTGTTTAGTTATTTCCAAAAAAAAAAAAAAAAAAAATCATCACACGGCTAGACTGTCTGCTTTTTTATACTGCACCACACTGTGACAATACAAAGCTGCACTACTCCAGGGCAAGTTCTGGAAAGAATTGTGCCTGCAATCTCTTCAGGAGCTCCAGGGAGCAAAGGAAGAATGTGTATGCCAAATCATTCTTCTGTATATTGGAACATGTTCCCTGGGGCATACCAATTTTGCTGGCCTATAGGTAGGAGGGTAGGGCCTTGGTTCTAATTTTTCTTCAGCTTGTGTAGGGTCATTTGTGCCTCTTCAAGGACACTAAGAAAGAGTGATCCCTTTGCTCCTGAAGTTCCTGGTATGCAGTTACTTTGGCAGGGCAAAGACAGAAAGTCTTGTTTTGCTCTTTTGCACGCTCTCTACTGCTATACATTCACATATCTCCACTAGCGTCTAGCACAACCTTCCCACAATATTACTCAAATACAAAGTGCACAACAGACTGTAACGTTTAAAACCAAACCTCTCCCTCAGATAAGCAATGTAAAATTCAAAATGGGCATTAAATATGCAAAACATATTTTAGATCCTTTTAATTCAGTAGTTCTCAAACTGTGGGTTGGGTCCCCAAAGCGGGTCATGACCCCATTTTGATGGGATTGCCAGGGATGGCTTAGACTTGCTAGGACTTGGGGCCAAAACCCCACAGCCCTGGGCAGTGGAACTCGGGTTTCAGACCCAATGGCTGGAGCTGAAGCTCTTGGGCTTGGACTTTGACCCCCTTCCCCAGCCCAGATAGTGAGGCTCCCCCAGCAGCGGGCATGGGCTAACTCGGGCTTGATTCTATGGTCTTGGGGCTGTGTAGTAAATTGTGTTGTCAGAAGGGGGTTGCAGGACAATGACATATACACCTGTTTTAATTAATTACTTGGCTTCAACATGCTGAACTTTGGGAGATGAGTCAGAATCAGAAAAGAAGGGGACATACAAGAGTCTCAGGTGTGCCTTTTATAAAGGGCACAAGGAGGTCTTGATCCGGCTCTGAATTTTGTACCCATTTTTTTCCCTGCTTTTTCCCTTTCTGCCAGAACTACTTTGTTATACAATGTTTCTAACCAGTTATACCAAACATGTTGCTTTTTTAAAAAGATCCCTCATCCCAAGAGGTTCAAATGTATCAAGGCAGAGATTCTTTTCAGTGTGCATTCATTAACAATAATGCATGAAATACATTCTGATAGACTCTGTTATGAAATCCCTGTCCTTATGCAGCAAAATATACTGTACATTTTAAATATTCAGTGAAATAAAAATGGACAAAACACCTCTTTGCAGCCATATGAAATAGCCCATTATATTTTACATAGGTTCCACAATACAATATTTTGGTATTGGGTACATACACCTATGACAACTAGGATTTAAGCTCTCAAAACCCTCCAATGTTTTCTTTTTTGTACTAATATTTAATGTTTTTATGAATATGTCAATAGATTAAAAACTAGCATATGTCTATTTTATTTAAAGAATCCACCATTAGCACATTGCTCGAGATATGTTTAGCCATCATGCTGCATTTTAGTATCATCCTACAGAAGATTACAGATTGTTGATTGGTGAGTAACATGGGTTGTTAAGTAACTGTAACACTTCAGAGAGACCTAACTTTCCAATGTTTCTCAAAATGTTTCTCTCTCAAAATTCTAATTTTGTTTACTGGTTAAAATTATTATCTAAAATTTATTTTCAAGCTATTAATGTGATTTACCATTAAACTATGACTCTTTTCAAACAGAAAGTAATAAAGGGTGTATAATTCCTAGATTGTGCAAATGCAATGTTGCTGGGAACATTTCCAGTTATAAATCAAAGCCAAAACAAGGGGAATTTTGAAGAGGAAGGGAAAGAATGTATAGGTCACGGTGGAAAAAAGACTCAGTCATGAGAAAATACTTTCTAGTTAAAACAGTTTTCATATTTAAATGATAATGAGGCTAAAATCAGAAAACATAAAAGATTCTTTAATCATGAAAAAGGGATAGAATATTTCTCCTATTTCTTTCAGTATTTAGCAATAAGATAAATATTGACTTTTATGTGGGTGCTGGGTTAAGAAAGGGGAATGACAAAGAGCATAAAAATGTTGAATGTAAAGTTTTACTCATTAATACTGAATTATTAATAAGTTCTGACCACAGCACAGACATTCCAGTACATTCAATAGAGTTTAACGTCTTATGGAAAAAGCATAGTAGATGAACAATGAGAAAAGCAGACTTGCTAAATTAACATTAATTAAAATTATTCTCTTTTATTAAAAGGCCAGAAGTCAGCATAATAAAACACTATTTCGGATAATGAACCAAGTTATTCTGACAGTGACCTAGATTATCATCCTCAGGGAGTGTTAAGAAAATAGAGGAATTCAGGGAGCATAATACATGTCTCTCTTCTCTTGTTTATCTCCTTTTCATTTCTCTCAGACACTTTGTATCCACTCCCAGTTACCATCAAACCATTTTTTGACAGCTCTAACCATGATAACTGGGGGTTGGCACACTCTGGAACTAACTCAGTCCTTCTGGCAGACGATGGTAAAGCAAGATGACTGGGATCTTAGTTTCTGAGACTGAGTCACTTCCCCCACAGCTCACAGCATTCCAGATGCTGTGACTGAAAAAGAATCTGAGTTTGTATCTATAAGCCAGCAACAAGACAATCCGTTTAAGCATCCTTGAGCTTGTATAGCTATTCATTTTAGTCTGACAAGCAAGCACAAACCTATATCCAATAGCTCAGTGGGACTCCAAGAACATTTCCTTGGCATATGGTACATGAACAAAAGAGATCCAACAATACCAACACAGCACTTGGTTTTATTGTTCATAGGTACTGGGGCTTTCACAACTTTGTGCAAACAGAAACAGTACAAAATGTGTTGTTAAACAGGCACATCAGTATAAAAATCTGGATTTTGCTAATTCAGATTTTTATGATCAAAACGGACACATTTTAAGATTAAGATGATCAATCTGAAGTGTCATTTCCATGAAAAAAATAAACACACATCTGTGTCTAAGGAGCTCAAATATAAATATGTCATTTGGCAGGATCCAGTAGTTGCTTGACTTTGCTTGTGTTCCTAGAGAGAGATTATTTTCCATATTAAATAGCCCTATCCACATGTGTTAAGAATTATACAATGAATGGATCTTAACATAGGAAGAAAACTACTTTCCTCCTGGATGTGGCATAAAGAGTTACATGGAAATATATAATCACAGTGCAAAACTTTACACAGGGAAAAACACAACAAATCTTGAAATCAGCACTCCCAAGCTGTTCTTACCTTAAAATTGTGTGCTTTTTCATAGTTGAAATGGTTGTCGTTTTGAGTTAAAGCTGCTCTTCTGACCAAAGAGGTGATCTGTGAATAGGCAAAGAGTTTCAGAGGTTGCCATAATAATGCCCCCTTTACTCCAGCCTTAACCCCCAGTGCCACGGCCAGCAGCTCTTGGCGCTTCCTTCCTCGCTTAGACTTGTGAACAACAGCACAATTTTTCTCATTCTCAAGCCACAGATCCTCAGAAAACATAGTGCTTGGATCCCAAATCTTTTCCCTGTCTTCCTCTGAGGCAGGGAGGCTTACTGTACTCAGGTTTGTCCAACTGCTTCTAATGTTAGACAGCAGATTTGAAGCAGCTGCAGCCCATTCTGCTGAGACCTCTGGCATGTGACTTGAATGGGCTGTCTTGTGTGATGGAAGGAGCTTCTGCATCTGAATAAGTAACGGCCTGTTTTGTGCTATTTCTTAAGGCAGACGTGTGCCTGAAACAATAGTCGGAATTCATGTACTGAATAAAACTCCCCCCTCCCCGCAGCAATGGTATCCAGCGAGACACTGAAGAAATACAGGCAGGGTGACAGCTTTACAGCCTCTTGCCACAACAAATTTCAAAGGAAAGATCACTTCTAGTTGGTAGCATGTTTTTAAAAAAATGGCTCTGATGCTGCATCCAATTACACTCAGACTTGGAGACTTATGAGCCATTCTGAGCTGCACACCAATGGATTAAACCCTCTAAACCCTGATGATTGTTTAATCTTGCAGGGCAAAAATCTCTTCTTTTTCATATCCGGTGCAAGTGAAAAATCCAGTGCCACTCCTAGGATTAGCAGCATTTCGTTTCCAGGCGTTTTGTTGGGGTCCACTTAGCAATTTGATCATGATCAGTAAAAATCAGAAACTAAGCCCCTTGCCATTCAGTCTGCTCACATGGAAAACCCCTTAGCCTGTGCAGTGGCCCACTTTAGACAAGGGAGCTCTGCAGAGATGCAAGAGGTTCAATCTGCACAGATTAGATGGCAGATCTGGGGGCTAAGTGGCAACAATACAACTGGTTCCTCCACCATAGTGGGGGAGAAAGGATAACAAGTGGTTAAAGCCCATTTTGGAGATCTGGGCTCTAATCCTATCTCTGCCATCGCCTTCTGAATGACCTTAGCATGGTACTTAATCTTTTCATTTCTGTTTCTCTACCAGTACATTGAGGATAACAGTTACCTATCTCAGAGGGATCACGTGAGGCTTCATTCTCTAGTGGCTATAACACGCTTGACATACTCAGAAGAAAGGTGCTACAGAAGTGGACAATACTATCAGGAGAGCTGCTTCTAAAACTCTTACCAGTAATAGCCTTGCCCCCCTTTGTTTCTGCCTTCATGTCCATTCTTTTCCACACTTGAATCCAAAGACAAGAGCAAATTATATAATCTAAACAGACTTTTGTTAATCTGTGAAGCTGTTTCTTCCTTTGGCTCTACCCACACCCTCAAACCCTTAGATGTCCACGGGAGTTCATCTAATTCACTGACTTAAAACACCACCACCATCACCACGTAGTTCACATGCTCTCAGTACAAATTACGATATGAAAGCCTGCAGGGACAGATGGCCAACCATCAGTAAGATTGGGCTGTGTGTAATTTCATATAGTGCCCTACTTACGGCATTTAACAAGTTCTGTAACCTACGAAATCAGCTTTTTAAATGTGAAATGACGTAGTTGTTTCTGTCCTGAATGTACTTTCCTTTCTTTTCCAGGTATCTGACAGCATCACACTCTCTCCCTCTCCCCCTTTCTTCATTTTATCAGATTTGGATGCTTTGGTTGAAGCTCCTCTTGCTAAATAAGCAGGCGTTGCTCTTACCCATTTTTCCAGCTGAAAAAACAACTGAGTGGCACTAAAAACTCTGCATTGATATTGCTCAGCCCCAGCTGAGGTGGTGTCTGGTGCTATTCTGTGCATCCTTACATTATTACGTCCTGTTAACAGCCAGTTCAGGAATCAGAGCTTTGAGCCTGAAAAATCTGCTCCTGTGGATCAGCTCTTAATCAGACCTTTAGGCTACGTCTACACTGCAAGCTTCTTGCATAAGAACTGTTTTGCGGAAGAGTTCCTGTGCAAAAGGTCTTCCACAAGAGCACGTCCACATTGCCATGTGCTTTTGCACAAGAGATGTGCTTTTATGCAAGCACATCCATGGCAGTGTGGATGCTCTCTTGCGCAAGAAAGCTCTGATGGCCATTTTAGCCATAGGGGATTCTTGCGCAAGAAATTCATGTTGCCAGTCTACACTGCCTTCTTGTGGAAGAGCTCTTGCGCAAGAGGGCTTATTCCCCGTGGGGAGAGGAATAACTCTTCCAGAAGAAGCCCTGTTTTCTGATGCTGTACTATAAATTTACTTGTGCAAGAACGCGCATGCAGTGTAGACGCTCTGCTGTTCTTACGCAAAAAGCCTGCAGTATGGACATAGCCTTAATGTTTTAGGCTAGGATGTACAATTTGATGTATGGTTCTAGCCCCAGCAGACACTCAGGGCTTAGATCCAGAGGAATGTTATACCTTTCCCAATTACATTCAGAACCTACTTCAGAGAGCCACATTAATGCATGTTTAGAGCCTGCTCTTGCTCCCTTTCAGTGAGAACAGTGATCTCCTCAAGGGGCTGATTTCAATGGGAGCAGGATAAAGTTCTCAGGAAAGAAAGCTTGGGTCATCAACACTTCACTTCAAGGCTTTTGCCCTCAACACTTAGCATGTTCTATTTCAGTACTTCTGCTTCAAATGAGTTCACATTTATCTCAGACCTGTGTTACTCTGTATCTTCAAAAACAATGAGGAATCCTGTGGCACTAACAGATTTATTTGGGCATAAGCTTTCATGGGTAAAAACCACTTCATCAGATGCAATTTTGGATATTAAAAAACGAACAACATATAGCTATGAACCCTCAACATAAACATGAAATGGTTCTTCTCTGGTATGCAATGTGATGGAATCAAAGTCAGAGAGGTCAGCCTCCTTATAATACTTTAGCATTTGTATTGATACCACTGGACTGATAAAAATCCCATTATGGAAACTATATTTTTATGTAACATTGTGGATGTGACAACTCTCAGGTGAATGATGTCACATAGTGTACAACTTAAAATAGCTACATATTAGAATACATTATTTTTAAAACATTATGACATCTTAAGGACACACATATAGCACCTAATGGAAATACTGGTGTTTCTCATAGGATTGTTTAACTAATTGACTTAAAGGAGAACCAAGCTAATCCTGGTCATGAGTATCTAGGCAGGCGGATTAGTATTAGTTGTTTATTGTATTTCAAAATTTATTCATCCACTAGGTTCTTTTATCAGCCATCTTGATGCCTTTGTCAGGTATTTGTTTAATAGGATTCACTACAAACACAGGATGTATAACAGACAGGTGCACAATAAATGCATTTGCTTAACAGACTTGATCATATGAAGCCACACTAGATTCAGTGTTTAACAAAGGATGCTGTAAACTGATATGAGTCGGGCACAATAGCAGAGGACAAAACACTTCCCCCTCTCCTCTATGTAAATCACAAATAGCAGCACAGTCAAAAAATTGAACTGTTCTCAAAATAATGAACTCTGAAGCTCCATTCCTTTCTCATGCCCCAATGCAGTCCAAGAGTTCAAAAGCAGTTCTTTTTATTCATTGTTTTCTTTCTTTTTGAAAGATCTGCTGAGCAGGACATTGTGTCAACTAACCTAAAGAACATTTCTTGCTAAAGCTGACACATCTGGTTAGCAGGGAGACTCCTGATAGCTGAAAATGTCTTGCCAGTTTTAATAAAAATGTTTAAATTAATAATAATTGACAGCCAAATACAAGATGTGGAGATGTTCAGAGGATCTCCACGAACTGTAGGACTTTTAGCTGCTTAGTTGATCAGTAAGCCATGTGCATTATACAGAAATTTGGGCATTATATCACTAACCCAAAATTAGATTACAAGGGAAGAGGAAGTGTTGGTTAGTGTGGCTTCATTTTCAGCATGCCTTTTGCTAGAATGAGATGATTGAATGATTTGAATTGAATCTTCAAAACACTACAGGCAGTCCCCAACTTACGCGGATCCGACTTATGTCGGATCCGCACTTACGAACGGGGCTTTTCTCGCCCCAGAGCTCATGGGCGGCGGGTCGCCACCCGTGTCCTCCGGGGCGAGAAAAGCTTCTTCCGGTCTCCCTGGTCTGCTGGGGGGGGGGTCCAGCAAAGCCGCTGGACCCCCCC